TAAATGTTTATTCATAACCATGCCGAAAATAAGTCAATAATGTTAGCTGATGCTAACTTTCTAGCTAACGAGCTTGCTGGTGCTAAATTGAGGTAATTAAAAAAAATAATAATGTCCAAATATTTTTATTCAACCACCTAGATAGATTAGATCTAAGGGAAAAAGAAAGGATGTGATGTTCAGAACATGGTAACTACAGTAATTATCAAAGTGGGAAGTGATGCCCTCTGGGGGCATTTGGCCAGGGGTGTTTTTACACCACAGACAAGGTTTGAGAAGAAAAAAAATCATTATGAAAATCTAATTATATTTTCCTTATTATATTCATTATTTCCTTATTGGTTATTTTGGTAAAATCCCAGGTATTTTGAGCAGTAGGATTATAAAAAGATATATGCTAATATAAAATTAAATTATAAAAGTATAGCCTATATATAAAACTGCAAAATAAACATTCATCTATCGGTACTTTTTACTTAAGTACATAAAAAAAAAGTACTTTTGTACTTTCACGCGAGTAAAATTGAAAACTGAGTACATTTACTTTTACTGGCGTAATATTTTATTATACGGATCTGTACTTTTACTCAAGTACTTGATTTGTATACTTCGTCCACCACTGAGAGCATGTGATCTCTGCAACGCCCAGATGCACAAAACAGACCCTCACACCTCCGTAATAATCATGGAGATGTTAGTCCCGTCCGAATTAGTACATGAAAATCACAGACGTCAGGTGATAAGAATCGAAACTCAAACATAGTTTAGAAAACTAGTCCCGTCCGAATAGGGCTATAGACTGAATTTTTTTCCTATAGACGTGTCTACCTCTTTGATCTCTGATTTCTGATGGTGTTGTTGCTAGTCTTCTGCATTGCTTTCAGCCGAGTCTGCAACTCTCGCCTCTGCCATTGTGGGATAGGTGTGATATCAACTGCCTAAAACGCATCACACATAGGATATAGCCCAAAGAAATTCATAATCACGAACTGAATCTGCAATGAAGACGAGCAGTTATGGAGAGTTACGTACATTCATTAGGAGGCCAACTTCTTTAGAGAGCCTCTGTGCTGCTGGTATATCCAGGGAGCTTGCAGCTCCTACCTGGACCGCCAGAGACTCCAACTCCTCTTGCATGTCTTGGGCCGTCTCACGAGCCTGCGTCACAGGAACAGTTAGTAATCGAACTGGTACGCAAAAGTAGATTTTGATTTTCAAACCTTTTTGGCATCATCTCCAGTAACAGCAAGGATACGGCTAATGCCTTTCACCATCTGTCGCTCAGACACAATAACAAAGTCCCTAATTGCTCCCGTCCTCAATAAATGCCTGATAAAAACAACAATATATTGGTGAACTTGGCTTCAGCTTGGAAAAAGCCAAATGTTTTGGTGGTTTGCCCAAAGGACAGGTTGCCAACCCTGTTCCTGGAGGGCTACCATGCTGCAGAGTTTAATGCTAACCCAAGGCAAGCACACCTGAACCAGCTAAACAAAATGTTCTGGACTTTATTGCTTTATTTTTTAAAACTACAGGCAAGTGTGTTGGAGCAAAGTTGGAAATGAAGGAAGAAGTAGCTCTCCAGGAAAAAGGCTGGCTACCCTTGTTCCCAAAGTGTTCCAGCAGTTTCGGAAGAACCTTACGTGCCACAGCAAAGCTCCACTGAAGCTTGTCCAGTGCTGTTTGAGTTAAGCAGATCTGAAACAGGCACAGCCACGGACACTACTCGTACTGGGTCTGGATACACCTAAAACAAACAACAGATCAAAACTTCACATATAGACTGTTTCCACCAACAGGGTGCAGGGTACCAAAACATCCTATTCTTTGGGGGGAACGGGGCCAGAACTTTGGAGTGGAAGAAAATCATAGTCCATTCATTTTAAATCAGGGTTGCCTAATTCTGCTCCTAAAAGGCCACTATAGTGTAGAGTTCATTTCCAGTCCTACTTAAAAAGACCTGAACCAGCAAATGAAGACTTCAGGATCATGGTTATCTGGACTTCAGGACTAGAATCTTTTAAGCAAGTGTGTTGGTAGGGATGTCCCGAGCTGATCTCAAGGATCAGTTTCAGGGTTTCCGATTAAGCATTTTTTAAAGTTATTGGTATTGGCTATCCCAAGCCCGATCCTTTATTTTATGTCAGCTGTCATGGGCAGATGACTTGACTGACAGACTGCCATTCTAACATCACAAGGTTCATCTATTCTAACCTTATCTCCACTATTGTTTTTCTGCTCCTATTTTATATCTTGGAGTCTCTACTAAATAGATGATGACCTAAATCAGGCTGGGCTCCAGGAACCTGTTCGAAATCCACTGTACTATAGTAATTGTTATATCAGAATAGGCCTGGGCGATAAAACGGTATCGATGTTTATCGACGGTACACCTTCTTCGATAACGATATTTAAAAAATGTTCGATATAGGCACGTGCTATGAGTGACGCAGACAGCACACACAAACACGAACACATGCTGAAATGAGTGCTGTGCCTGCCTGTGATGAGGAGATTGTGAATAAGTAATGAATATTAGTCGAATTTAAAATAAACATTTGCATTTGAATGTTAGGTGTGCATCAGGGAGCATCATCAGTGGCGCACAAGATGCGGTGATGATGATATAAGTGACGTTGTTGCATTTTAATGTTTTGTTAGTCTAGCCCACGAGACGCGCCGCTGCTGCGTTATTCATTCAAAATATTAGAGAAATATAGAAGCTCAATGCGGAGAAGATTGATTAGGTTAAAACCGAAACCAAGCCATTCACACAGATGCATATTCAGTGCATTTTTTTAGACGGACAAATATGACTGCTGCACTCGCGTCTCACACAAGAGATGTAGCCATGCAAAGTTAAAACAGTTTAAACTTTTAGAAAACACGTTGCAAATTTGTGGAGGTTTATTCCTTTTCACTGCGTCTCTTATGTTTTTAAACGCAATCTGCGTGATGGCCGATTTGGCTCTTTGTATTAAGCAATGCATAAATACATGATACTGTTTTGTTCATTATTGTTTATGCAAAAAACATTTGAATACGAAATTATATTTGATTTATACGATTTATATTAATTTAGATGTAATGCACGTTTTTTTATCGACAGTTATTTCCATGCGTTGACATTATGTGCTGCATTATTTTGCTCATTGCGCCCTCCTGTGGCCTCGGGAGACAAGACAAAAGTTTCCTTAAAACCTATTTAATCTGCATATAAAACATTAGAAATTAAATATTTGTTAAATTTTTATTGCGTGTATGACTGTTAAAACAAAATAAATATTTGTTGTTTGTCTCAATAAATTGGGTTAATTTAAAAATACAGTGGTTAAATTTAAACATTTTTTTCTATTGCTCTTTTTAAAAAAGGTTATAAAAAATGTCAATAATTATCGATACCGAACGATATGAAACATTATATCGTTGATCAATTTTTTAGCTATATCGCCCAGCCCTATATCAGAACTACTCCTTAGTTACAGATGCCCCTTTTTTACATTTGAGTCCCTGCCCCTGAGGAACTCTCTGCATGTGGTTGTATACATTGGATTGCACCTAGCACTAGGGAAGGTACAAGTATCAAATCAGGACTCGGTATTGGCAGATACTCAATATTAAATGACTTGGATCAGATCGGGGACACAATGAACTTGATCGGGACATCCCTAGAGGTTGGGTCTCCAGGAGCAGGACTGGACTCCCCATTTTACACCCTGAAAATATATATACCTCTAGAGATACAACAATCCAATATTCAATATTGGTCTGATATGGATAGGACTTTTGGTTGAATTAGTTTTGTATTTGCAGTATTGGAAATGAGAAAGTGGTATTGAGTCATCCCCATTTACCTCATCTATTGTTCTCAGACCCATAATCTGTTTAGCTTTGGACAGGGGGATCTCCTCTACATACACCTCTGCATTTTGACGAATGATGTTCTGGACCAACTCCTCAACTTGCTGTAGCTCAGAAACACTCAGGGAGCCCTTTAAACAAGCAAATACACATGTATTAAACATTTTGGAAATCATTAAATCACCAAGGCAGCCACGTAGCCATTGCACCTTCACGCTGAAGTCGAAGCGGAGCCGGTTGGCGGTGCAGTGAGACCCTCGCTGGCTAACAGAAGGACCTAGCAACTCTCACAGAGCGAAGTTTAACAAGTGTGTGGCTGTGTGCTTGACCATGCAGCCCATACGGTTAGCCTAGAGTTGGAAATTCAACACTTATTGTAAGGTATCTGCATAATGTATTACCATGGTGTTGGTACTTTTGCTCCTACTACTCCCACCTCATCCAAATTAAGTTGCACTTGGTCTCCAGTTCTCAAAGTCTCTGCTGCTGTGACCTGATGTACCACATAACCCCCAGCCAGACGGACAGACTTTACAGGGAACAGCACATCCTGCAAAGAATAACCACAATGGTGAATCTTGTGCTTATACAAAAAAATAAGACATCTCAGATGGAATGTGATCAATAACCTGCAGTCCATCCTTGGTGAAGTAACCCTGGTCGTGCGCCTGTCCACCCTGCTCTGCGTAAAAGCTGGTCTGGTCCAGAATCACACCACAGCGCTGACCCTCACTCACCTCTGAAACCAGAGACCCATCACAGTAGAGTGCCAGGACTGATGCTCTGCAAGGCTGAAACACTGACAGAGAAAAATGGGTCAGGATCCTCATTCAGTCTTATACTGTGTCCAAACCAGGTGTGATGCCATTAAGTGATAAGCAATAAATCCTATCACTTTCATATTAATGATAGTTTTTGTTCTAACCACCTGAAATGCTAGCTCACTGGTCCAAATCCTGCTCCACCTAGCTACATAGTGGCTGCCAGTGTGTTGCTATGCTAAGTGATTTAGCATGTTGTTATACAGTTATTGAGGTGTTTTCTTAATATTTATGGTGTTTGGATTGTTTTGTAACATTGCTATTTGATTGCTAGTGTTATGACTGATTTTTAGCATGACTGATTCTTTCATTTAGTAAAGAGGTGTTCTGGGTGTTTTTTGTGTGTTGCAGTTGCTATGGTGTTCAGAGTGAAAGTGTGCATGGTGTTTCTTAGCTGACTGCTTTGTAATTACTGAGGTGTTCAGAGTGTTTTTTAGCGTGTCGCTGTGCGGTTACCAAAGTGTTCAGAGTGTTTTTTAGCGTGTCGCTGTGCGGTTACCAAAGTGTTCAGAGTGTTTTTTAGCCACCTTGGTAACCGCACAGCGACACGCTAAAAAACACTCGGAACACCTTGGTAACCGCACAGCGACACGCTAAAAAACACTCGGAACACCTTGGTAACCGCACAGCGACACGCTAAAAAACACTCGGAACACCTTGGTAACCGCACAGCGACACGCTAAAAAACACTCGGAACACCTTGGTAACCGCACAGCGACACGCTAAAAAACACTCGGAACACCTTGGTAACCGCACAGCGACACGCTAAAAAACACCCGGAACACCTCGGTAACCGCACAGCGACATGCTAAAAAACACTCTGAACACTTTGGTAACCGCACAGCGACACGCTAAAAAACACTCTGAACACTTTGGTAACCGCACAGCGACACGCTAAAAAACACTCTGAACACCTCAGTAATTACAAAGCAGTCAGCTAAGAAACACCATGCACACTTTCACTCTGAACACCATAGCAACTGCAACACACAAAAAACACCCAGAACACCTCTTTACTAAATTAAAGAATCAGTCATGCTAAAAATCAGTCATAACACTAGCAATCAAATAGCAATGTTACAAAACAATCCAAACACCATAAATATTAAGAAAACACCTCAATAACTGTATAACAACATGCTAAATCACTTAGCATAGCAACACACTGGCAGCCACTATGTAGCTAGGTTTTTTAGTGTGTCGCTGTGCGGTTACCAAAGTGTTCAGAGTGTATTTTAGTGTGCTGCTGTGCAGTTACCAAAGTGTTCAGAGTGTTTTTTATTGTGTCGCTGTGCGGTTACCAAAGTGTTCCGAGTGTTTTTTAGCATGTCGCTGTGCGGTTACTGAGGTGTTCCGAGTGTTTTTTAGCATGTCGCTGTGCGGTTACCGAGGTGTTCCGGGTGTTTTTTAGCGTGTCGCTGTGCGGTTACCAAGGTGTTCCGAGTGTTTTTTAGCGTGTCGCTGTGCGGTTACTGAGGTGTTTCCGTGTGTTTTTTTAGCGTGTCGCTGTGCGGTTACCGAGGTGTTTCCGTGTGTTTTTTAGCGTGTCGCTGTGCGGTTACCGAGGTGTTTCCGAGTGTTTTTTAGCGTGTCGCTGTGCGGTTACTGAGGTGTTTTTTAGCATGTCGTTGTGTGGTTACCGAGGTGTTCCGAGTGTTTTTTAGCGTGTCGCTGTGCGGTTACCGAGGTGTTCCGAGAGTTTTTTAGTGTGTTGCTGTGCGGTTACCGAGGTGTTTCCGAGTGTTTTTTAGCGTGTCGCTGTGCGGTTACCAAAGTGTTCAGAGTGTTTTTTAGCGTGTCGCTGTGCGGTTACCAAAGTGTTCAGAGTGTTTTTTAGTGTGCTGCTGTGCGGTTACCGAGGTGTTCCGAGTGTTTTTTAGCGTGTCGCTGTGCGGTTACCAAAGTGTTCAGAGTGTTTTTTAGTGTGCTGCTGTGCGGTTACCGAGGTGTTTCCGAGTGTTTTTTAGCGTGTCGCTGTGCGGTTACCAAGGTGTTCCGAGTGTTTTTTAGCGTGTCGCTGTGCGGTTACCAAGGTGTTCCGAGTGTTTTTTAGCGTGTCGCTGTGCGGTTACCGAGGTGTTCCGAGAGTTTTTTAGCGTGTCGCTGTGCAGTTACCGAGGTGTTCAGAGTGTTTTTTAGCGTGGTGCTCTGCGGTTACCGAGGTGTTCAGAGTGTTTTTTAGCGTGTCGCTCTGCGGTTACCGAGGTGTTCCGAGTGTTTTTTAGCGTGTCGCTGTGCGGTTACCGAGGTGTTCCGAGTGTTTTTTAGCGTGTCGCTGTGCGGTTACCAAAGTGTTCAGAGTGTATTTTAGTGTGCTGCTGTGCAGTTACCAAAGTGTTCAGAGTGTTTTTTAGCGTGTCGCTGTGCGGTTACCTGCGGTTACCGAGGTGTTCAGAGTGTTTTTTAGCGTGTCGCTGTGCGGTTACCGAGGTGTTCCGAGCGTGTTTTAGTGTGCTGCTGTGCGGTTACTGAGGTGTTCCGAGTGTTTTTAGTCTGTTATTTGCTTCAAGATAAAAAGATTTAGTCTCACGTCTGGACAGGACACAGTTTTAAATATTTAACTGCCTGACATTATCTTTTCACCCTCCATTACCATATTTTCCATCAGTCCCCAGACTGTAACAGTATTTTGGGGAGTCGTCCGTGTGAGGAACTCCTTGACTTTGTAGCTCCGACAGACTATGAAGATCCAGCTGTTCAACCCTATCTTCATCATCCTCCTCTGACTGAGACCTCAACTAAGGAAACCCCCCCACAAAATTAGATATATCCCCAAAAAGAGAGCTTATTAATAAATGAGCCCATTATTCATCCACAAATCAGATATTACATTAAGGAAAGCAAAATGCTATCACAAGTACCTTCTCATATTCAACTTCAAGCACTGCCATCTCTTTTTTATCAACCATCTTGCCCTTCTCCTCCAGCATCAGGTCAATCAGATCTAGAGGGAAGCCCAGGTTACGATGTAGCGACCAGGCGACTGAAGCTGATAGAAACAACACCACAATGGACACAGAGAGTAAAACAAATATAGAGAAAAACACACAGAGAGAAATATCAGCATTAATGAACCTGAACAGATAATAAAGAGGTATAAGAAAAGCAAATTACACAGCTTTGCGGGCTTTACCTGGAAAAACGGCTGAGTCTTTGTCCATATTGCTGAGGGTCCTGTCAATCACCCTCCTGCCCTGCTTCAGTGAGGACAGGAACTGGGCTTCATTCTGATTAATGAGATCCATGATCTACAGAGGAAGCACAAAGTTTATCATATCATGTATAGAAAACAAAATTTAGTACCTGCACTAGCAGCTTTCCTAAATTGAAAAAGTGCCATGGTACATTGATATATACCATAAGTCATAATTTTAAGCTTTGCTAAAGATTTCTTTTTTGTGTTATTGAATTATTAGTGTTTTACTTTAATATTTACTTTAATTGCATTTTAGAACACTGTAATACATACCATTAAAAAATATATTTTTTTGTTTTTGAAAAAAACATGCTCACCAAGGCTACATTTATTTGATCAAAAATAATACTACAAATAAAAATAACAATTTTCTGTGTTAAAATGTACTTTATTCCTGTGATGCAAAGCTGAATTTTCAACATCATTACTGCAGCCTTCAGTGTCACATGATCCTTCAGAAATCATTCTAATATGCTGATTTGCTGCTCAAGAAACATTTCCTGTTATTATCAATGTTAAAATCAATGCTGCTTAATACATTTTAATTTATTATTTTATAATTAATAAATGCTTGAAGTTTCTCAAAAGACAAAAACAGCATTTATTTGAAATAGAAACCTTTTGTACCATTATAAATGTCTTTACTCTCACTTTTGGTTGGTATAATGTATTCTTGATAAATAAAAGTATTAATTTCTTTAAAAAAAACACGAATGTATATTTTTGTAAGAATTTACTAATAAATGAATAATAATAAATGTAAAACTGTGGTGCTTTTTGAACATGCTTACCCTCTCAGACTCTGTGTGCAGCTCAGGATAGGCATCTCCCTGAGAAAAGAGGAAAAATTAAACTCAATGTAAATATCACACACAATGCAGTGATACCAGTACTAACTTGGTCGTAATCATCTCACCAGTATATGAGCTACAGTAGGCACCAGGCTTGCCAGCGCACCTTCAGGGGCCTGCAGCACTTCTGTAGAAAACCTTACGGCACGTCTCAAGACACGTCTCAGCACCAGCCTATCACAAAGAGCACATATTGCTTGAATATTATACTTTAAATGACTCTGCGTACTTTGATGAAGTCAGACTCACTCAGCGCCTGTCATTCCTGGGTAAACTCCATCAGCGATGCACACGCTGAGTGTCCGAATGTGGTCGGCCACGACCCGATAGGCCATGTCGACCTGACCCACATCAGCCTCTCCATTCCTGCCTTGATATGCAGGAGCCTTAGAGCACTGCATGCACAAACAATAGAGGCAATGTGGTTTAGTTTGTATTGAACCTGTATATTCCTGTAAAAGGTTAAATGAAGGTCAGAGACCTGGTGGATGGCGGACAATAGAGGTGTGAAAAGATCTGTGTCATAGTTGGAGCGTTTCCCCTGCAGGACGGTCACCAGCCGCTCTAAACCCATCCCAGTATCCACACTGCACTGGGGCAGAGGTCGCAGGCTACCACTGACCTCCCTGCAACACAGAGAGAGACTAGTGACATATTCACTAGTGTGCATTATTATTATCGGTAACTAAAACTAAAACTACTATTTTAAAACATTTTGTTGATTTAAATAAAGCTGAAATAAAATAAAAACAAATAAAAATGACATAAGCACATAACAAAATTACTAAACAATGTAAATAAAAACTGAAAATATAAAAATAAAAGCTAATATAAATGTTCGGAAATGAAAATAGTAAATGTTGCCTTGATTGAAAAAAATAAAAGCAAAATAAAATAATAAATAATAAGCTAGTAATTAAAGAATGAACTGATGAACAATAAATAAATAAACTAATAAAAATGACATAAGCACACAACAAGATAACTAAAAACTGAAAATATTAAAATAAAAGCTAATAAATGCTTGGAAATGAAAACAGGAAATGTTGCCTTGGTTGAAGCAAAATAAAAACTAAAACTGAACTCAATAAAAAATACAATAAATGTAAATAATATATAAAAAAAATAAAACTGAAATAAAAAATATATTAAACCTAAAACCTAAAGAGTAATACTAAAAAAAAACTAATTAAAATGACAAAAGCACATGACAAAATTACTAAAATGTCTACAAAAACTAAAAAAAAACCCTACAAAAATGTAATATAAATAAATTAAAAACCTTAATTAAATGATTAGAAATATTGCTTTGAACTGAACCAAAACTAAAATAAATTAAACAAATATATATATATATATTTTTGCCAGTCTTTTTTAATATAATTTTGGTAATATCTACAGATTGAACCATCGCTTCCCCGCAGAACAAGCCTCCACTGCACATTAAAGTTTGTAAAGCTTGAAAGAAAATTAAAAAGAGATTTGAAAATATAAAAATAAAAGCTCATTCAAAATATTAATAAAAACTACAATAAATAGTCAAATAATACTGGAAGTAACTGTTCTAACCTGTTATACTGCATAAATACAAGATTCCAAATTTCCACTACATCTGGACTGTCTGCGTTGACCAGTGAGGCAGCGTTCCAATTCCCAACGTGATCGTAGTGAATCTCTGTGCAGGGGCCACACGGACCCGTCTCGCCCATTTCCCAGAAGTTATCCTTCATTCCGAACGGCAACACGTGATCCGGCCGCACTCTGCACGTGAACATCACAACAATCCAGTGGATCTCCAACAGAAAACGAATGCGTTTGTCAACTTTGCTTTGCACTTGTGAACGTACCTCATGCTGAGCCAGATTAGCCGGGTTTCCTCATCGGCAGGGAGTCCATTCGCCACATCTCCAGAGAAGTACGAGACGTACAAGCGATCAGCGGGAATGCCGTACTCTTCCGTTAAAAGACGCCAGGCCATTGCACAGGCTTCCACCTGGATGATGAATTATTAATTCATTCAAAAATATGCAAAAGTACTGAGTTCCTCCAAGAAACTACGTTTGCTTGCGTTCTTGGAGGAACACAATAATTCTGCAAGAGAACAGATGTTTAGTGAGAGAATGCAAAGTTTCTCGTGGGAACGAAATACTTTTTGCGAGTGAAAAGTTTCTCGGGGGAATGCAATACTTTTGCGAAAGAATGATAACGTTTCTGCGGGGAATGCAATACTTTTGCTAGAGAACACCCATTTCTTGGGGGATCGCATTAGTTTTGTGAGAGAATGCAATGCTTCTTGGTGAATGCAATATTTTTTGCGAGGAAAAAAAAAAGTTTCTCAGGGAAATGCAATATTTTTGCGAGAGAATGCAAATGTTTCGCGAGAAAAGGTAAAGTTTCTAGGGTTAATGCAGTAGTTTTGCAAGAGAATGCAAAAGCATTAAAATATAAATGTTCTTCCAACTCATATGTGACCCTGGAGCACAAAACCAGTCATAAGCAGTAAGGTTATATTTGTAGCAATAGCCAAAAATACATTGTATGGGTCAAAATTTTCGATTTTTCTTTTATGCCAAAAATCATTAGGATATTAAGTAAAGATCATGTTCCATGAAGATATTTTGTAAATTTCCTACTGTAAATATATCAAAACTTAATATTTGATTAGTAATATGATCCTGTCCTAACAAACCATACATCAATGGAAAGCCTATTTAGCTTTCAGATGATGTATAAATCTCAATTTCAAAAAAATCCTTTATATGTATATATATATATGTGACCCTTATGACTGGTTTTGTGGTCCAGGGTCACATATATTTTTTCATTACCATGTCCCTGTAGGGACTCTGTAAAATGCAATTCATACACATGATAACTTGAATAATAACACCTGCATGATGAACGTGTTTTCAATTAAAATTCATTTTGATATTTTTATGGGGCATGAAGCATCCAGATATCATAATTAAGAAAAACATGCCTCATTAAATGAACTCAATAATTGGCCAAACCTTGAAGTAATCACCAAATGACCAGTTCCCCAGCATCTCGAAGAAGGTGTGATGGTACACGTCTTTCCCCACATCCTCCAGGTCGTTGTGTTTGCCTCCGGCGCGGACACACTTCTGACTGTTCACCACCCGCCGGTACGATGCCATCTCACTGCGGGGGTCCGGACAGCCCAGGAGAATGGGTTTAAACTACAAGACAACACAGACCATGTCAACCTACCATCGAAATTATTATTACAGAAGACAGTCACCCCAAAAAGCACTTAAACCTCTCTTAAAACAATTTTTAATTCTTTTTCAGGCTGTACATAAAAGCACAATGGTCAATATTTTGACTATTAAATTATTTCTATTCATTGAGTCTCTACTTTTTTTATTTATATGGGCC